AGACATTTTGAGGTTGTCTTTAACTGTTGGTTATACATTGATAGTTTTGTCTTGGTTTTATGGTTTAATATTTTGAAAAGGTAAAGCTGGTGTATTAATTAATTTTAGTTATTAATTCAGGTATGCGGGGTTGCTCTAGTTTTCTTTGTGATGGTGGAATCACTGTGTGGAATGTGGATATGGGTGTTTGTTTGTCATAAGAGGGTTTAGAGTTCAAACTGGGAGATTTTATTTTGGCTGAATGTGGTTTCTTCCATTGGATGAGTGAAGTTATTGGCAGAGAAGGTGGGAGCAGAAGAAGGAAAGTTCGCTGTTGCTAGGGGCAGTTTCTCAGACTTTGAGTGGGCTGCTACCAATGACATTGTACTGTTATTTACCAAAAACATAATTTTACCACAACACCAGCCACAACCAAAAGAATGTGTGTTGTTACACAAATATGTACATAGGCATATATGTGTATAGGTAATGTTTTTGTTACCTCTGGTACCACTATAACAGAAATACAACAAAAGTGAGGCCTTAACTAACACAAATTTTTTCTCTTACAATTTGGGGGGCTATAAGTCCAAGTTCAAACTGCCAGCTCTAGGGGCTCAGTGAAAGCCCCTCAACCATGGGCTTCAGCTCTGCCTTTTGCTCTCAGCCCACTGAGGCTGGAGGTTTCTTTTAACTCAAACAGCTGCTGGCTGCTGAGGCTGACAAACCCAAGATCAACAAAGAAATGCCACAATCCCCAAATTATCAAACAATATGGCAGGCCATTAGTTCAAGTCCAGAGACAGTCCCAAAATCAGCAGGAAACATAGCAGGGTGCTGAATGAAGATTCTGCTACCTGCAGGGTCCAAGCATGCAAAAAGCTCCAAGACTTTTCTCAGTGCTTCTTATATCCTGGAAGCAGACCACATCCCTAAGGCAGCTACTCAGCTGCTCCAGTAGATTCCATCATGGAGTTGGTTACCAGTCTCATAATGGGGAATAACTACATCCAGCTGCCCAGCCACTCAAAACCAGGCCCAGTCAAGTTGACACCTAACCTTAACTACCACAGGTATGAATACATGAGTACATATGTATGCAGATAGATTTATCTACAGGCTTATGTACGTACAGTTATGTGTGTACATACATGTGTATTTTTACGTACAATAATCCACATAAAGGATACAGTTGTAGATACTTATTAAACATTAAATAATACCTTACAAGATTAGTTTTCTGGGTTTGAAGGCTTAGGACCATAGTCTCATGGTTCAACTCAGTTAATTGGCATAATTTAGTTACTAAAGTACATGTTCTCCATCCCAATGTGATGAGTAGTGTTTGGGTTTTAAAAATTTGCAAGAAGCCATCTAACACACAACTATTGGTCCCTACTCATCCAGAACAAAAGAGAAAGAAGGAAACCAAAGACACAGAGGAGAAGGTAATCTATAGGACTAAAAAATCTACACAAACCACAGCCCCATCTACCTGAGACCAGAACAAGATGGTGCCCAACTACCACTACTGGCCATTCTACTCAGGGTCATGGTACATGGACCAAGATTGAATGAGAGGAAAACGTGGAACAGAACACAAATTCTTAAAAAGGCTGGACTTACTGGACCAGATGAGACTAGCAGACTCCCTGAGACTATCATCCTGAGATACTCTTTAAATCTTAAACCATAATTATCCCTTGAGTTCATCTTTTAGCTAAATAGCAGACTGGCTCATAAAATAAAGACTCTCACTTGTGAGTTAATAAGTTCCTTTTAAACAAAAATCTATATGAGACCAAATGATCCAAAATTACCTGAAAGCAAAGATGTGAAGGTAAGGAGGAAGGGAAACTAGAGTACTGGAAATGGTACAACCAGAACACAATTAATTAGAATGATGATATATTGTGAAAAATATAACTCATATCACTGAATTATATGTGCAGATATTATTAAATGGAACTCTAACATACTGTGTAAATGTTCACCTTAAACACATACACACATGCAAAAAAAAAAAAAAAATTAAAGAAATAGGCCATGCAAACTTTTTGTTATGTAATACACCAACTTTAAGTATATTTTGCTATAGCCTGAAGTTATCTACAGGTTAACCCCTCCTGCAGAAGATCCTATCTTAATTAGCAAGAATCCTAGCAAAAGCTTTCCTGAAACTATTCAGGAAAAACAAGCAATATCTCCATCACTTATATTATCAAATATAGATGTGATAAGAGTTTAATATTATTCTTCTATCTATATGTTGTGGTGTTTTTCCATAGATAAAATATCCAAGAAAACTTTCCTCAGCAATCAGACCACAAACCCTGCCTCTCAAAATCCAGCAGAAGCAACAGGATCAATGCCAGAGCTAGAAGAGACAGAGACTGGGAAAGAAGGCAGAGTCAGGTGAGAATTCAATAACATAATACACGTTTGAAAAATTTCTAAGCCTGCATTTAAAAATTCAAACACCTATCCCCTGCTTTCATTGAGCGAAAAAAACTCTTCCTTTGCTCCTTTCCCTGGGAAGAACTATGATACACCTATGTATTACTTATAGACTATCTCATTAGCCAACATTTCACATTTACAATAGTAAAAAATCTCCTATCTGACTATTGTGCCCATTAACAACATATGTCTGGCAGTAATGAATGCTAAGCTGCAAAGTGAGAATAACACTGGCTGTGAGGGTTAAGGTTATGTGTCATCTTGGCTGGGCCATGATTGTCAGTGGTTTGATAGTTATGTAATGATGAAATTTAGCAGTTGGGTAATTATGTACTCATCCTCCATTTTGTGATCTTATGTGTCATCTTCCATTTTCATATAGCACTGATTTTCACATAACAGCCTGGTCTTTGGAAACTAATCATGTTAATAAGTAAGGAGTGGGTATAGTTGCATATAACAAAAGGGAACTGGACCAGAAATGAAAGGTTGGTCCTATCAATTTCATTGTCCTTTATTAGCCAGTTATGGCCACTAACCAAGATTTCTAGGCAGCCATTTGGCCATAAGCCAAAGCATACCAACAAAAGCATTGCAATCACATGCCTGAGACATCAGTATCATCATGGAAATAACCTACATATTTACCAGGCATGAATTTTAAAAAGAAGGAATTGAAAGGACTTTGTGATTCTTTTCCAAGTTCACAAATAAATAGTTATTCAAATTCTGTAAATATTTTATTGTTCTGGGAGATTGATTATTATTTCCTTTCATCTGCTAAAGAAAGTGTGGCACGATAACAGAGAGTAATTATGGAAACGGGTTATCTTTATGCCATTGAAGGAATACAGTTTTATAAATACTTCCCACTAAAATTATTGGAAATGTCACAAAAGAAATAGCAATTTAAATGTGAATCACTGAATCCACAATAAAACCCAACCAGGAGGCCCTTCATTGTGCCACATCTTGGCATGTTATTATATGACTGCTGACCCAATTTGAATTGCTTAACTATATTTAATATAATTGCAATAGACATGCAAAACAATAAAAGCATGCACTTCTTATTCAACAGGCAAGAAGAGTTGTCATTTAAAAAAAAGTTGAAAGTATCTCTCCCCCCACACACACACTTTCTCGCAGTAACTGCTCTAATGTGTTAAACTGTGTCTGTCAATAGAAGATACTGTGAATATCTAGGGCCAGCGTATTGCTGATTGAACAACAGGCATCAGAAACAGAGTGCATTTTCAGTAAACACAATTTTGGCTATAAATGAAAATAAACACGAGCTTACTCTACCACACACACACACACACACACACATACATAAAGGGCTGCTTGACAAAAATAAAACCTGACACATTATTTATGCAGAGAGAAGATGTTTAAACTCTGAGGTAAGGACTGGAATCTTACAACAGGGTTTAATAATTACTTGTATTATTTATGTAACTGTTAGTGTTTACAGATGGTTTGCAGTGCTATTAGTTGGTCATCATTACACTCTGTAGTTAAGGAACCAAGGCACAAAGAGGTTAATCAGTTTGCCTGTAGTAATAGAGTCTGCTGAGCCAAGTTCAAACTGCAAAAGACTCAAATTCTTGAACTGAACCTTTTCCTCCCTCCCACAAGTACACTTCCCTTCAATGAACAGTTGACCTTTTGAACTACATAATCTTTCTTTCTAGTATTTATTTCAATAAATTCAATTTTTTGTAATAACCAGTAAGATAGATACATTTTCAAAGGACTGAAGTTGAAGCCCTAACTAACATTTTTGGGGACATTCCTCTTAATCTATTATCATCTGAGAGCAGTACTTTTACTCTCATGAATATGGAAATGGGAACCTTTCATTTACCCAGAAAGCGAATCAATCAGCATCTCCCAAAAGTACAAAACTCCTTGACATGGCCTAGAAAAGCCTGCCTGATCAGTCTCTCACCTATTTTTACTTTGTCCTCTCCCAGCACACAACTCATCCCCTATTCTCCCATCCCTGTGCTCTGGTAATACTGGTCCTATTTCAGTCTTTTGCACTTGTCATGTCCCTTCCTACCACGGGCTTTTGCATATTCTTCTTCCTCTCTGTACTATTGTTTCCTCCTCTGATGGCCTAATCAATTCCTCCTCATTCTTCAGATCTGCTTCTAAAAGAATGACCTTCCTATAAGTCTTATGTCCCTATTATAGGATCTCTGTCATACCATTTACCACTGTTGCAATTAATGTAATTATTTGGTTAAAGTCCATCAGTCTCATCCTCTAAACTGTATGTTTCATGAAGGCAGGGGCCATGTCTATTTTGCCATGTCTGGCATATGCTAAGCATGCAATAAATAGTTATCAGATGAATTAATGGATGAATTCCAAATATATTTGATTTTTTTTCTCCAAAACTTCTAGACTTGCAAAAACGTATAGCTTCTTTATGAGGAGAGAGCAAGACACAAGTGGCTCTCCAAATCTTCCTATTGTTACCCGGAATTCTTGGTAAAAGCAAGCATGACCAGTAGCAGAAGATTCAAAAGACCATGAGGAAACCACCTGAGGCTATGAAACTCTCAATTCCTTGCTCCTGTCCTTACATGGCTTTCCATTACCGTCACTATCCTGAGCTGGCAAAATTACTTAACCCAGAACATGTTTGATGTTTAATGACAATGCTTTCTGCAATTTAGGCAGCAAAGTGGCTTGAGAATTATTGACAAATGAAGTAGACACAGCCAGGCTTAAAGCTGTAGCTTTGTTTCTAGATGGCTGTTCATATCTTATCTCAGGACTGGGTGAAAACCTACTGCACTGAAGCAGCAACTTTAAAGAGGTGTAAGTTCCAGTATCATCTTTTACTAGTCACTGAGAATTCTGATGTCCCAATACTGTGTAAGACATCTCAAAGTCTTCTTATTTTGTTCCCATGAGCATCAATGATACCACAACTAGAACCCAAAAGAGCAGAGTTTTTATGAAATCATTAGAAAATATCAAAGATAAAACAAATCCTAATAAAACTGTTATTTTAGAATGCTCTCAATGAATAAAGATCATTTTGGTATTTGCAGTTATTAAAAATCAGCATGTTTAATCTTGGGCAAGATCAGGTTCTTCAAAGCTTTTTCTCCTAGAAAAATGTTAAGGATTTGATTGATTGCAGGCACTGAATATACATGCTGTGTGAGTGACTAATTCTCATTTCAATTTTTTTAATTTGGAAAAATTTAGGTTATTAATAATGAAATTTAAAAATAGGATTCTTATTCAAGGTGCACTTAGTTTACCCTCTGACTTAAGCCTTAGGCTCAATAGGGATTAATATCCTTGTGCTGATCAATAGGTATTGGAGAGGATGCATGTTGTGGATTTTGCTATCTCCATCTGTAAGTACCATGTAATATTATTGATTGCTCCTTTAATTCCTATCACACTCAGCACTACACAGATAAGGGCAAAAGTAACACAAGAGGAACATAGGGACAGAGATTACTATCTCTATTATGCATATAAGAGAATTGCAACTGTAAAAGCCCTAGTCTTTCTAATGCTAAAGTCCAGTCTCTTTCCACCATTTCATACTATCTTCCCAACTCACTAATCCACCTTTACCCATAACACATTAACATTTAACTTCTCAGACAGAAGGAGCCCTGGTGGTGCTACAGTTAACACTGAACTGCTAACCAGCCTGGTTCAAACCCACCAGCCACTCCTTGGAAGGAAGATGTGGCAATCTACTTCCATAGTGCTACTGCCTCCGAAACCCAAGGAGGGGTCCCTGTGAGTCAAAATCGACTCGATGGCATGTAGCAATAACAACAACAGCTATCATTAATATTGCTGGTTCAAACCCATCCATTGTCTTTGTAGGAGAAAGACCTGACAATCTGTCCTGTAAAGATTACAGCCTAGAAACTCTGTGAGGCATCTGTCACATGGGGTAAGAATCAAAATCAATTCAGCAGCATCAAACAACACTCTCAGGTACACACAATAATAGTCATCTTCATCCTGTCACAGAAAATGAAGTCTAATGTTAACTATTTACAAAGTTGGGCATCAGGTTTATAAAATGGTCCTTTATGTCTTTGTCTCAAATATTGTTTCATAAGTGGAAAGGAGAATAAATACATATTTAAGCCAAATTCACCTATTAAATTTAGGTAATTACACAAATCCAAAGAGAAGAGGTTTAAAAGTTTACATTGTTATCATAAAAGTATAAATTTCATAAGACAAATGTACCCCTTCTGTGATTTTTTTTTAATCCAACTCTTAATGGACTCTAACTAGAGATTAAAAGTAATTGTCCAGCCAAAGTAACAGTACTGATCTCAGTCAGATACATGTCAGCCCAGAAGAACTTTTTTCAAGTATTACATGTCCACATTGCTGACTTGAATCCATCTGCATTGAGCTAGATTTGTTATTATTATTACCCTTTCACAACATTTTCTAAATTGTCCTTCCTGGGAAAAGAAATTCTTTGCACATCTTCTCTGAAAGAAGAAACTAATTCATTATCTTGTCAGATGAATCATTTAGTTGCTGACAGTCATGGAGTTCACCTCTGAAAAATCCCATTGATGCCATTTGTCCATTACCAAGAAAAACAGCCTGTTTCTGGCAATTCTTCTCAGAACATCCTTGTTTTTTAATATAAAAATATATTTTTTGATGGACACTAATGAATAGCAAACAAAAGAAAATGTGTTTTGCCTATAAACATCAAATAGCTATGCCTGAAAAAGGATACAGAGTTAAATGCCTGGTAGGTTAAGTGGTTAAATGATAAACAAGCAAGTCAGTGAAGTGAACAGTACCAGTGACTGGGGAGGACTGCAAACTGATTTTTATATGATAGCACATGGCTTTTAAAGATCTCTGATGCTGCAGTGGTTAAGCACTAGGATGCTAACAAAAAGGTTGGTGATTCCAATCTGAGGGAGAAA